AATAATTTACAGTGTGGTCACCAGTATAAGATAGTGAATGACTCCTTGTTGCTTCATCAACTACTAATTGTGCTGTCTTGTTATCTCTCTAGAATGTTACTTTTACTCATGTTGCTGCAGTATCAACCTGAACTACTTTAGTTGTTTAACTTCAGGGATAAAAAGAACAAAATGATCTGCAAAGGCTATTCCTTAGGATCATGCAGGAGGTCTCTCATAAAGGCCAATGCTCATTTTTCTGTAAGGAAAGGCATATAAAAGAGCCTTTTGTCATTTCTGGTTATCTGCTTGAGGTCAAAAACATTTGATGAGTAAACGAAGTCCAAATTTAAAAAAAAAAAAAAAAAGAGGGGGTTTTAGAATTACCCTTTTTCAATTATTGTATCTTCATTCAACAGTTACACCTTATAGAAGGTCCATAGAGGCCTGTGTTTGAGGATGGAAATACCATGCAAGAAATGAGAAGAGGGAAAAGAAGAAATGATAGCAGGCCTAATAATATGATTAGGGGTTTGGTTGGCTTTTTTTCCCCACTGAAGTGGTTCACTGCTGTTGTATTTGTGCATCTCATGTCTGTTGCTGCTCCTGTGTTGTTACTCATTGCAATGTTTTATTCTGTTCTAAATATTGTTTGGCATTACATTTTGCTTTAATTGCTCTACCAGCGTAGACACATCTCCTCATTCCAAATCAGTATTTGACGGCTTAATTATTCACAAATTCTTGTTGCCAAGTCAGTATTTTTCAGTAAACAGTAAATTATCTGAGGATGGCATGTCCCCATCCCTTGAAGTCAAGATCAGGTTGATGCTTTGAGCAACCTGATCTAGTAAAGGTGTTCCTGCCCATGGCAGAGGAGTTGGAACTAGTTCATCTTTAAAGGTCCTTTCCAACCCCAACCCAAACCATTATGTGATTCTGTGATCAGAATTCCTAACTTCTCAAACTGACAGCTATCCACGAAAATAATGATGAGCAGTAGGTAAGCTTGGTGTCACACAAAACTAAACTAGCATATTTGGCTTCCTGGAACCCACAATATTTAATATATATAGATTTATGCTTTCTGCTGGAATGTGTTTGTTCAGCCAACAAGCAAAGCTTTACCACAAAAAACTTTTACTGAAATGAAGTCTACTCTCTTTGTCTCAACTGTGTTAATTCATACTGTACAAAGGTAGAAAGTACAAGTATTCAGACATTGCTGTCAGGACCTGAAAGAGGGTAGACTAGTAATTATTTGAAGTGACAAAATTGTCTTAATAATTGTAAAATTGAAACTACTGTAGGCTTTTCTTTGTTTTGCAAGTTAAAATCAAGGTTGTTTGTCTTTTACTAACTAGGTAAATACCATTCATAGCTTTACATTTTTACATTTGTGATAACATTAATTAGTAGCATCTTGAACTGAATTCATCTCAAATTCAGCTCTTTTTTGTTTCTATAAATTTTACATAAAATTTAACTATTCCCCTTTGTTGTCAGGCAAATGACATGTGAAATATCCATTTTGCAAGTCCATATGGGACAGATTATTTCATCTGTACATTAACAGTTAAGTTTGTGCAACTTACTCTTAATATAGAGATAAGTATGGACAAGTAGTAGATAAGTATCAGTAGGCCCAGAGATGAACTGGACAACAGTAATTTAAATTATGGTTAAGTATTTTAATGAAAAATAAATGTGCATTATAAAGAATCAGAGTTATTTTGGAATTCAGTTCTTGAGATTAACTGAAGCAATAGTCTTAAAAATAACATCACAAAGGCTTAAATTAGTCAAGATCATAATGAGTCCCAAAAGTATTTTTCCTCACTTTAAGGATTTTGAAATTAGCATCTAACTGACATGGATTATAGGAGAAACTGATTATGTTTATCTGTGGGACCCTACTCTATTAAAACTTATGGTAACTGCAGGACTCAAGGAAATAAAAAAGAAATACTGAATACTGATGATTCTTAATAGTAATTTCAGTTCTAGCAGACCAGCAGGTACTACCTTTCAAAAGATACCAGGGAAAACATAATGGTTCAGATGGAGATAAAATGGAATGATCATCTTTAGTCCAGTGTTATAATGATCTTATAATAACATTTTATAGCATCCCAAATATCAACTATTCTTTAAATTCATTAATCAACAATTCATGGTATCCTAATAGAACATATCTTAAACACTCCAATCACTTCATGAAGGTTAATTGAACACTAACTGGTATCTATGAAGCTTGATCACTAATTCGTGAATGAGTTTGGTTTTTTCCAGTCCTTTCTTGGTCCTTGACAGAGGTGAATATTTGACTATAGGTCTGATCCTTCCTCCAAATCAAAACCATCTGCCTAAAGAAAAGAAAGCAAGGGAAGAAGGTAAAAAGGGAAACACATAATGCATTTGTTTTTTTTTTTCCAACCCCAGGTGGTGTCAATCTAAGAAAAAGCCACAAAATAGACCATAAGTTGCAAACATGCCCTTGCTATCATTACTCTTAGTTTTTTACCAAGCCTGCACTTTATCTGTTTTCTGTATATAGAGTTGCTGATCAGCAACATTTGCAAGTTTCCCATAAATAAAAGGGTTATAAAAAATGTGATATGACTTCTCTGTGTGTGGTGGAGAAAAACACCATCCCACATGGTCTCTGAATGGTGACACAAGGTCTATGGAAGAAATTTTTCTTGATTGTTTGCAGCCCACTTGTCAGAGAGTATGTGATTTGGAATATCTCCCTGTTTCAAGTTATTCTTGCAGTTGTTTACATCTGCAGAACTAAAGTAACTGGTTACTTGGCAGCCTATCAGCAGAAGAGAACTAAAAAAAAAAAAAAAATAGAAAAAAATTATTGTATCTTATGTTTCACCAGTTTCATTTTTTTGAAAGAGTGCCTTTTGACTAGTTTAACATGGGGAAAAAAATTGGTGAATCCCAAATTAGTACTTGGTCTGTAGGAAGGCTGTAGACTACAATGACATCTCTCCTTAGTCTCCTCTTCTCCAGGCTGAACAGACCAAGTGACCTCAGCCACTCCTCTTACGGCTTCCCCTCCAGACCCTTCACCATCTTTGTAGACTTTTTTTGGATGCTCCTTAATATCTTTATATCTTTCCTATATTATGGTGACCAAAACTGCACACGATATTCTGCCTTATTTGAGAAAATTAAAATCTTTAATCTCTCAGTCTCTCTTTATACTTCTTTCCTGTTTACTATATAGTCAGGTAGACTCTGGTTAATAAAAATGTGGTAATGTAAAATGTACCAAAAGAAATATATTGCATTATTTTGCTACCCTGATGTAATTGACACGTTTCTCTCTAATTTTATCTATACTGTATTGTCATACATATTTTTTTGCTGCTGTGTATAATTCTTGCAAATATGAATTTCTCTGTTAGCGCAGTTTATGTGGCACAATTAGTGAATAAAACCAAAGAGATAATTACACACAGGAATGTCCAATTGTGGTTGAGATTTTTGCTCTATTTTAATGTGATGTAATATGTAGGGAAGCGACTCTTAGGACTCCTTAGGTATTTCAGACTGTGTGTTTGTGATGGTTTCCATAGTTTTTCAAGAAAGGTCTCTTTGTGAATGACAGTCAAACCTCAAACAAACTTTTTATGAGGGCACCAATTATGGCATAGAGAACTGGGATTTCAACAGTGAACAACTTCAGTATATGACATGTATCCAGTCATATCAGCTGACTTTGTACTTGCTCTTTGGAGTTATAGTGCTATTGCCAATGATGGATGCTCAGTGGCTTGAACCAGTTACCTTAATGCAGGTGTTTGATGCTAATTGAAAGACCTTACTGAGTGTCTGAGACCTAAGCTTTATAGATATGACATGACATCCATGGACCCCAGGGCAGCAGCTGGAAGCTATGTGGGACTGCATGGGTGTCTCAAATATCACCAGAAGCTTCTGCTTAGGCAAATATATAGAGTTTTTATGGTAGTCCTGTAGCACCTCCAACTTGTTTTCCTTCGTACCTTTGGCAGTAAAAGACCTCTGAATTTAGCAGTAGAGGTTTTTTTTCAGTAGCTGTCCTAAAGCACTGATGAACATTGAAAAAATTGTTTCAATGTATGTTTCTCATACTTCCTTTTAAGTTAGAGGTGCAGAGAAGAAAAAAAATAAACAAACAGGTTTGACTGCTGATAATTTCTAAACAAGGTGAAAATAATTAAGACATTGTTAGAGACCCAAATAACAATATAATGCAACCTCTGGAGCAAGTCCAGAGGAGGGCCACAAAGTTAATAAGAGGATTGGAGCACCTCCCCTGCAAAGACAGACTGAGAAAGTTGGAGGTGTTCAGCTTGGATAAGAGAAGGTTGTGTGGAGACTTCATAGCAACCTTCCAGTATCTGAAGGGGACCTACAGGGAAACTGAAGAGGGACTCTTTGACAGGAGCTGTAGTGAGAGAGAGGACAAGGAGTAATGGATAAAAACTGAGAGAGGGGAAATTTAGGGATGTTAGGAAGAAATTCTATGTTAGGAGATACTGGAACAGGTTGCCCAGGGAGGTTGTGGATGTACCAGTCTCAGCAGGGTTCAAGGCCAGATTAGACAAGGCCTTAAGAACCTGGTCTAGTGGGAGGCATCCCTGCCCATGGCAGAGAGGTCAGGACCAGATGGTCTTTAAGGCCACTTCCAACCCTTAACATTCTATGATTCTATGATTTTCGAAAAGAGAAAATTGAAAAACTTTTTTCCTTAAGCTCTCTATAACCTTATTTAACCTGTTGCTAAATGTGCTTGACAAGAATTAAGTGTATTATTTTTACATAGGATACCTAATTTTCTGACTACAAGGACTCTGTTTTAGTTTTCAGCATTTCAGGAAATTCTGTAAGAATAAGTAATGTTAATTGTCATAAGAGTCTACTGACTTATTTGTTATAGTTTTATTCATGTCTAAGCAGTTGTTTGTGAATTTTAAAGAAAGCTGTGATTTTTTACTCAGAACTCTGCATCTTATTTCTTTTAGATTGAGGAGGATACGTGGCAGAAATACTACCTGGAAGGAGTTGCAAATGAAATGTATACAGAATATCTGTCTAGTGCCTTTGTGGGTTTGTCCTTCCCTGCAGTTTGTGAGTAAGTAGATACATATTAATATACAGAAGTATTTGCCTTCTCTCAAGAGAAGTCTGTTTTTTGCAGGAGACCTTTTTACTTCGCTGAAGTCCTAATGTTGCTACTTCATATGGTATCTAATAAACACTAAAGCAATCAATGCATGGAAGTATCTGAAACATTGTAATGCCTGTTTTCAGAATAGACTTGGAATTAAATGATTGTAAATGAAAGCATGAATGTTTTCAGTGTTGAACAAATTCATCAGCAATCCATTTAAATTGAGTTATTTACTCACAAGTACTGTTCTATTGTTTCTTCTAATGAGTCCCATTCTTTGAATAGTGGTCATCAGCATCACCATCTTGGCTAATGTACCATTCCGAGGAAACTATTCATTAATTTAAACATGTCATTAAGTCATATAACCAGTGTGACACCCAGAGCTCTGTGGAACTGGTTTCAAACGACTTGTATTAAGTGAAATATGCCAGAAAAGATATGTCTGTTCTGAGAAAGGACTATTTGAAGCACATAGTACATAACCATAGCATAAGCCATTCTACAGCTTTATTTCTAGAGACTCAGAATGCTTTTGTTAGTCCTAGAATGGGTCTATGAATGAGAGATTTGTATGCAAAAGGTTTCTATGACAAATTCTGTGGCCACATAATCAGATAGGTTTAGCACACTCGTATTTCCTCTTCAGTTGGCATTGCCCTTCACTCCAGCCATGCCAAAAGGTCACCACAAAGGCTGTGGACAGCTTTTGCTAGGGACTGTTCAAATGCTTGATAAGAAACAGACCCTACTCTGAAGAGTTTGATGTTGAACTAGTTAACGCAGAAAAAGTTCTGAAAACTCCATTCTTAGAGAAGGAAGTAGAAGTAAAATATAATCTCTTATGTAAAGGAGGATGATTTTGCTTCTACTCCTCTGACTTCTCCCTCCTTTTCCAATTTTTACAGGGAGCATAAACATAGGTTATGGCATAAAAATGAGGGAGAAACAACTGTTAGACAAATATCCATTTAAAGATCTGTCTTTGTCTGAGATGTAGCTATGACAGAGCCCAGTCTTCAATTTGCTACTAAAATTAGGGGTTTACAATCCATCCTCCCACTGTGTTAGCCAAACTGTCACTAGGTTACTGAGGGGAAAAGTGTATTACTAAACTACAGAAGTCTGCCTGGATATGTTGAAATAGAAAATCTCATAACATATTACAGAAATGTGTATTATATTCAGAATGAATGGTAATTGATGCTGTTTACACTACCTACAGTCATGCAAATTAACTCTCCACTGCAAACCATTTTCCAACCTGTCGAGTTTCTATATGAGTTTGTAGAAACATGTGACTGAGACTGTATTTGATATAAAGCTGTCATTCATTTAACTGTGCTGGTAGAATGGAGATAAAATAATCAATAAAGGGTGTTTATTGAGATTTGGAAACATCTAAATTTTGGAGGTCTTCTCAGGCATTTGGTTATCTGAAACAGCAAATTGTGTTTACTAGTTTAAATGAAACAAAAAGATTTATCTCAAATTTTTCACCACTTTATTAATTTCGAGTTAATTAAAGCACATTAAAAATTAAAAATTAGTATTACTTATTAATGAGTTTGGTGCTTATTAATGAGTTTAGGTATTTTCATTACTGTAAGAATTGACTATTCAATTTCCAAAAGAACTGAAGAACAGGAAAAGTCCTTTGCACTGATTTGTGAAGGGGAAATTAAGTCATTGGATAGGCTTAGTGTGTTCAGCCACCCATGAAATATCCAGACTTTGAGAACAGTTTTTGTAGTGCAGCTTTTAAAATTCCTGCAACCAGTGACATTTTAAAAGTCTGAAACTAAAGGAGGTGTTCTGCTTTCTTAGGTTATGGGTCTTAATTGCCAGTCTAGGAATGTGATTCTTTGGTAAATAGGCTGCCATACAGTTTGGATGAGAAACATAAAGAGAGTGCAGAGGCAGTGGGGATGGGACACTCAATATTGTTGAACAATTTCAAGCTTTTGGTGTCAACACTTGGGTGAAGAATTAGATGGCAACAGAAGTTAGTATCAGTCTGCAAGTTCTATTTTTAACTATATGTGTGTGTACTGTACGAACCAATACATTTTCAGTATGTGAATGTAATTCCTAACATTCTGTGCCCTTGGATATTGCTGGTCCAGGTGTGGTTGATGCTGATTGAAGATAAACTAACCAAATTGTCTCCCCCTACACTGGTTCTAGGCTGACTATTTTCTACCCAAAAATTTTCCTAATGAGGCTAGCCATCTATGGATTGACACTTGGCCTAGCAATGGAAGCAGCATATGAAATGTGTGCACTCCTCTTAATATTTATTAAATTAGACATATTTCCTGTTTATTATTCAAGAAATTGAATATTATCAGTTCAGTAGCCAATTCCTTGTTTTCAGATAAGTATGTGATTGATACAAAGTATGAATAATATTGCTTAATTTGCATAAAGAAGATAAATATTATTGATATATATGCAAAAATATTAAGAACACTGAAGTAAGGAAGTTGGTAGAAAAGCAGGGAGCACTGGAGAAGTTAGTGTATGATCAAGTAAATGGCAGCCATCTAATTGAAAGTTCAACCCAAGAATCATTCGTGACAAATCTGTACAACAGAAAGCAAGTAGCATTGACTTTGCATACATTTCAGTGGTAGAACTGAAAAATGGTTTCTAGTTAGTAAAAAACCCAAAAACTCACTTTCTTTATTTTCACAGAGCCCCTTAGCTTGAAGTTAATGGTGGTATGCTAACTCACAATTCTGCAAGTCTGTGAATATCACCCTTAAGTTGTTTTAACAAATAGCCACTTAAGCAGACTTTTATGACTGAAAAAAATGTGTATTACAGTATCAGAATGTAATTCCCATATATTGATCACAAATTACTTCCAGTCATGCAGTTCCCCAAGGACAATAGTTGGAAAATAGTGACTTATTAATAGTGTACTCTCACTTTATTTCAGTATATACATATTTTTCTAAGGAATGCACACTACAATCAACAAATATTTGAAAAATTGCCTCAAAACATCCACAACTATAGCCAGATGCAATTTTGTGTTGTGTATCATGACCTTTATTATTATTACTTAAGTAGACTTCGTATCACAATGTGTTGGTGGTTATGCTATTGTTATCAACTTCTCAGTTCATATTTTTAGGATCGTATGGGTTAATTATCTTCAAAATAGAAAGATCTTAACATATATTCTGTGTATCCCTAATGGAAAAAATGGGGAAAGATCTTAGCGTAAGTTCTCAAAGAAAATACATTCCCCACGGCCTTCTCTACATATGTGATGCTGGTTGTGAAAAAAGACTGACTCTTGGCCTCTTCTTTTCCTGCAGACTGGTGTTTGCGAAACTAAAGCTCTTAATGATAGCCATAGAATACAAGTCGGAAAAACGCGAAAGCAGGTATGTCCAATCCCTGCAACTCTTGAAGTTCTGGAATGCACTGCCAAGAATTTTGCTTGCCTTTTCTTCTTTTTTTTTTTTTCAGAATGAACATAGCTATTTGAAACATTTCAGAATATAATTAGCATGCCATCACATTACAGCATTTCACATAGCACTGAAAGGCGCTTATTTCTGCCTTATTCCTCCCTGAAATAAATCCAAGTCAGGACATTTAGTAGAAGGTGGAGAGACAGTAATACGTATGTCCCATCTCTAGAAGCGCAGTTAATTTTTACTTAGGGAAAAGCTAACAATTTTTTGTTCCTAATGTATCACTTCTAACCAGAGGTCCAACTTACTTTACTGAAAATGGAAAAGTGGAAAACAGATGTCATATCAAAATTCATTATGGTTACGTGTATTCTCAAAATACAAATTTAGCATTGAAATTACCAACTGGCTGGCTACTTTCCTCAACCAGAAAGAAAAAAATTCATTGTTATTAGTACAGCGTTTCTTGCTTTTTTTCATACAAAAGTTCATAAAAATCTGATTGACATTGGAATCAAACTTCCATCAACTAGTCTGTCAGTGCTGTAAACGATAATCATTTTTGCATAACAAAAATATTATAAATGTTGTCTGCAACATGTAGAGGAACATTTAATAAAAATATTACAGTACTGACTCTGGATGAATTTGATTTTCCTCTTTCAAAAGTTATATTCTGTGCTGCTGCAGTAAACCTGGAATGATATGTATTAATTCATCTTATTATTGGCCTTTAATTACTTCTAAGTGGCCAAAAGACACTTTTGAGGGCAATTGTTTCTCCTCACAGGAGAGCCGATTCTGTCATTTGAACTCATGCCACAATTTCTGAGGTTTTACAAGTTTATTTTAATGTTTATTCCTAAATGTCATAATTTTTCTTTATTAAAAATTTTTCTTTATTAAAACCTATATTGGGCATTTGACATGGAAAATGCAATGTTAAAACTGTTTAAAAGAGTATTTCCATGCCCGATAGTTGATTTTACTTGATTCTTTCCTATGTTACAAAGTGAAATGTGAAGTGGTGTATGTGCTATTGGATATTATTTTTGTTCAGACTATGCTTTTTTGTTTACATTATACTGATTAAGAAATCCTTTTTTTTTAAAATATATTTTTTAAAATGTTTTCAGCTCGTATGGACTCTTAAAATACTTTTCCATTGAATGATCTCATTCTACATTAGCAAATGTAAAGCCAATGATCTCTTCTTTTGTCTCTAGAAAAAGGAAAAATTGATAGTAATAGCAATGGAACTATTTATCAGATTTTGTTTATCCAGTATTTAAAAAAAAAAAATTGTTTCTGTTTTTTCCCCTAAGAATTATTGCCCAAATTTAGGTTGTCATTGCTTCAGTTGTCATTACTTACATAAGTGCTAATATTACAGTCTCTTTCAGTAATAACAGATAGTTCTTGGCTTCTATATCATTCTTTGCACTAACTTCAGTGGGAGTTGGATTGAGTTCTTAATCACAAGGTGATGCAGAGGATCCCACAAAAAGTAACACAATGTGATACAAACATATATTCCTTCTTATTTAAAGCCACACAGGTAACAGTTTGCAATTAATTAATTTAGTAGGGAAAAAAAGAGTCTAAAATTGCAGGAAACAATAGTAACAGAGGGATATTAACAAGTTGATTTTGTGAATATGTATGTAACAAAAAGAGGACGTATAAGATATTGACATTTTCTTATAACCCTGATCCACAGCAATATCTGCTGATTTTATTATATAGTGATAATTATATAGTCACTGTTTGGTGAATCACAGAGCTACCTGTAACATATCTTTACTGTTCTACTTGTTCCTGTGCTCTTCAACCCAAATATGTTAACTACATATTTGTGGTTTTCTGATCTAGAGCCTTTTAGTCTAACCAGAAAGGTAATGGAACAAAACTTAAGTTTCTCACTTCGTAGGTATACTTGTATTTCCTTGCATTTCCTTGTATTCCTCTTATTAAATGAAAAGATGGGGAATTAAGATAAAAAGTTAGAATAACATGTTTTAGAAGTGCAAGCTCTTTTTGAACAAGATAAATTTGTCATTTTCCAATTATATTTGTTGATGTTGACATTGAAAATATTTTATTCTGCTCATATGTAAAGTTCTTCATAAAGATGAAATGGCAACTGATTATGGGTATCCTTTTAAACTTTCAGTCTTTATGAGAGTGACCAACAGTAGATATGTGCTGATTTTATGACTGTAGTTTGCATCCATATTTAGTAAAACTACTGAGAGGTTTTTTTATATAGTTTACAATTCAGAGGAACAATGTTAAATACAACTAAAAGTTTAGAATGTCACCTAGGTGGCACCCTTTTATTAAGAGGTAATATTTCCTGCCATAATGGAGACAGGTCTAGGAATAGTATTTTCAGGAGCAGAGGAAATTTTCAAAGCATTCTTTGTGCTTAAAGGATGAGAAGCTCTTACTCCCAACAGTTCAATTTTTGTTATTAGCCAAAATAAAATATCTATAGCAGTAAATTATGTATCTGATTTTTTTACTTAACACAGAGAGGTTCCTTTTAAGATTAGTTTCATCTACCATCATCACTTTGCACTCAGAGCTAAAGCAGTGTAAAGTGGATTCAGAAGTGGTAATGGGAGGTCATTCTAAATTTCTTAATACTCTTTGTAAATTTTCAACTCAGTGTTAAGGATAAATAGTCCCATCCCATTCAATGCAGACTTGTATTTGACTTTGTTGATACCCTTATTACATGTAGAATGGTATAAATACTGATTTACCTAAGCACTTTTTTTTTCCCAGGCAGTCACTTAAATGTCAGTTTTCTAAAGCTTTCTGGTTTACAGTCAAATTCTGTTAATTCCACCATAGGGAATTTGAGATCAATAGAAATAATAAATTATCAGAACTCTATCCAAGCTAATATTGCTGTACAAGTTAGCAGTAGCTGAGCTTCCTACTTGCAGATGGGCTTTTTCTTCTTGTTTTCCTGGTTACTAATAAAGCTTCCCAAAACAGTAAGCACACCTTGATAGCATGTTTTGTTAAGATTAGGTAGTTAATTATAAACAATTTATGATTTTACAGGGTTGCTTAAAAGCAGATATTCAAGATATATAGGTAATATAGTCATAGATATGATAAATGCAAATCAGTTGTCATATAATCCGTAAAGTATCTACAGTCTTTTTAGGCATCTGTTCCTCATCAACATATCTTAAAAATTAGTAAAAATAGCTATGATTAGATTTTTTTTAACCTTTCCTTTTATATATTTAATAATGTTTAACCTACTCCTCAGGTATCAAAGAAGCCTGAGTTTACAAAACTCAATTTAGAGGGTTTCTGACAAGTTACTAAGGTCTGCACTTTAGTAGTTCCAGGTCACAATACGACTTAGCCATTCCTTCATCTCTAATTAGTATCTGGGAATGTTATAATGCATTATTAAGAAAAGGAAGCACTTAAATAAATTTTTGTGCCCCTGATAAAAGCCAAATATTTTAGCTTAAAATTTGTCTTTCTTAATTCATTTAGGTTTTGGTTATTTTATAGAAAAATGCAAAGGGAACATGGAGAGCATGAACCTGAAAATGTCCCTAAGTTGAATATATAGCAAAAAATAACAGTTCAAAATGCAGACATTCAAACTCCTTATCTGAAATCCCTTTTAGAGACATTTCTGCCTTCCTTTTTCCCCTGTATTTTTTTCCACATGAGTAAGCAAGAAGGAAAGCCTAACATGGATTCTTCCCTCCTGCAACCCATTTATACTCCTCTTGTAAAATTTTCTCTTGTCTATCCATATATTTGTTCTCATTCTCAGCAGAAAAACCTTTAAGCCTTGAAGACTTTTAAATAAAGGGTTTTTTTGCTTTTGCTTTGGTGTCAGTTGATTTCTTATCAAAGTGTTTGATTTGCAATTTTTTTCTTGTCGTTTGCAGAAGCCGAAAGCGGTATGCCCTCTTCGTTACCTTTCCTTCCAACCTCAATCCTACCTTCACTCCTTCTAACTTCAGGACTAATTCCTTGCCAAGAACACAGGAAGATAACATCTTTGTCTATCTTTCTCTGTATATGCACACACATATATACATACATATATTCATCTGTCTATGTGTGTGTGTATATATATATCTGTGTGTATAATTATATATGAGCCCCCAGTCTCAAAGAGGAGAGAGAATAGCATTTTATCTCTCCATTGTTTCTTGTGACTCAAGCACTAACTTCTTTGCAGGAAGTATAAAATTAAACAGCATAAGTTTTTTAGGCCTTTTTTTCCCCCTTTTGGAATCATTGGTGTATCAGAGTGTTGCATTCGAAAAGCAGACTTTACTGTTAACATCTGTCCTCTTTTTTCATTTGTACTGTACCATGACGATGTATATTTCGTCTTTACCAGCCCTTGTGCTGCCATATTGTCTTCATATTCACACCTTCATTGATGTCCTTCTTTCCCCAGAGTCTTCCTTCAAAACGTGTCTTACAATACAGTAGTTCGTGTTCTCTTGCAGTCTCATCTTCCATTAACAACAACCAAATAACTGATTCTTTGCATTGCTGGTCCTGTTTTGAGTCCAGTTATTCATAATACAGTACTCATTAAAGCTGTTGTACTGTTCCAGTGAAATTGCCATGGATAGTTTGTATTGTATGTCACATTCATTTTAATGACATTAATTGAACTCATTTATGAAGATGTTACTGTATGTATTTTGTTTCTCAGCTTTGGGTTGGTTTGTTTTTTTTTCTGAGATGGCATGTTTTGCATTTTCTTTTGGTATACCATGCTCTGAACCCCTCTCTAGTCTACATTCTATCTTACTGCTATTGGTTTGGATGAAGTAAATAGGGCATGCTCTTCCTTGTCTCTCCTCATCTCTCTTCCCTCTCACAGCTTTTTTTCGTAATTGCTTATAGCATTCTGTCTGTCAGTGGTGGTCTTTGGAGACCTGTTCTCATTGTCCAGACACTTCAGTTTCCTTCTTCATCGTTCTCTCTAAACTTTACTTTCTATTTCTGTTCTGTTGCATATGTTGTGTTATATGTATTTAAGTTTTAGTCTTATTCTCCTATGGTTTCTGAGTAGATGTGTGATAAGAGAGGTGGCTTCCTGTCAGTTTGGCATTGATATGATCCAAATGCAGAGAAGTTACTGCAACACTTAGCATCTTCAAGGATCTGCAGCTGTTGCACCTCTACTTTGCTTCTTGCTTTTAAGTATATATTATCTTGTGGTGAAGGCATGTTAAAGCTGGCATGATGAGCAATATGGAGAAGTGTTGTACCAAGTGAAGTTGCTTGCTCCCAGAATAAAGTATTCTGTTATGCTTCGTTGTACTGATAATCAATCACTTCTAGAATCAGAAGGAATAACTTAATTGTTTCCAAGTGTATTGAATTCACCATCACTGTTTAACTAGTTTGGACTATGCTCCAGTAAAATACCTCATGCACATCCTGTAAACCATGACTTAGGTGCTATTGTAAAGAATTTAACTCCTGGGAGCAACCTTTTATATGCTTGTAGTAATTAAGCTTTAATACACTGTAGCATGTAATGTGCACTGTGTCTTTTGCCTTGTATTCTTTTTAGTGTCTTACTGGATTTTGCTGTGCAGAGCAATATGGATCTGAGTTAATGTCAATGACAGAGCCCAGGAGAAGGAAGCAATACTAATGAGTTACAATCAGTGTGAAGCTGGTATATGCACAACTCCCACTGTGGGATTTATGCACCTACTCTCACACTCCAAAACATACCCTGAAACAAAAAATATTATCTCCAACTAATTCTATAGTTGGCTGACTGACATGGTGTGTTTTAAAAGGCCGCTACGCTAATAGTGGTGCTTTTTACCTGGGCATACCATGAAACAATCAAGAATAATAGCTGGTTTTGTTTAAAAGTGTGGTATCTATAGTCAGTAATACCATATAGTCTTGTTTTAGATAATGTAGGCATAGTACTTAAAGAATATTGTATCTTCCTGATGATTTTGCTACTGTTTGAGTTGCACGGGGAATGGTACAGTACATCTACCACAAGGTTTAAAACAGTTGTTACAGCTTTTGTCATTTGTTTAGTCAAAATTTTGCTGTTTGTGTTTCATTCAATTCAACAATTAATATTTTTTCTTTAGAAGAGGAGGATGATAGTCACACGGGTAGCAATAAAGCTGAAAACAAACAAAAAAATCAATCAAGCAAACACCCAAAAACCAACCAACTAACCAAAAAAAAAGTAGTATTACTAAGTCAGAGAAGTTTCCTTGATGCAGGGCTGAGCTGTTCAATTGGTCACTGGTAATGGGATTCCTCTCACCTAAATGTCTAATCTCCTTTTAGTTATCTAGACTTATTCCATGATTCAGGGAGAGAAACAATTCTTAAATGCATCTTCCATTTTAAGACAGATGAGAGGAATCTCACATTTAGTGCTGCCTAAATGTAACCTTGAAAGTAAGAACAAACAGAAATAGTATGTAACTGAGACACTGACAAGGAAAATTGTTAAAAGGACTTTTCTGGTGTACAGAACTACAGGAAACATTTTTCATTCTACTGAAATTTTTGTATGCTGAATATTTATTAGAAGTAATGTTTTAAATATTCTAATAATGTGAAAAGATATCAGCCATCAAATTTTCTAATCACATTTCAGCCCAAGAAATAATAATTTGAGTCCAATATGTGTAATATTTGAGAGCAGGAGACAAAAATCACCCAACATCGAAAATGAGTAAAAAGTAAATAGATAGAGGGAATTCGTCCTACCCCAAAGTGCCAGTTCACAAATTGCCCTACAGTTCAAACCTCCAAGTGTCAGGTTCTCCATCAAATATCTGTAAGTTCAGGAAAACATGGAAGATCTTCAATTAGTTTTCAAAACCTTAGCTCACTTATAATGCTTTAAAGGAGCACTAAAAAGGAATATATAGGAAGTATTCTCTAGCTAGATCAGGGTATTGTCAGTCATCCATGCCCTACTGAAAAGGTATTGAGCAATGCTCATGTTCTAGGGTAGTTTCAGGTAGAAAAGAACAAATCAACAAATATTTACGTGTATCTTTTATTGAAGGTAACACATATACTAAAAAAATCAGAAAGATATAATCCAAAAAAGTATGTTGATCACAACATACACACAGTGAGTTATGAACAGATATCTGTTCTCCACTGACATATGAAAAAGTCATCACGTCCTATCTTAACTTTTCATTGTGTAAATAAAATCATAAACATTCATCTAGAATTTTTGTGACCACATTTGAATTTTCCTTTTTTTTTTTAATTGTGCATCTCAGATGTGCACTGATTGCCATTTGTGTTTCACGTGTTTATATTTCTGTCAGTCCGGGAACTCATTTTCAGCTGAATAGATAGTATTCCTAATTCTTTCCTGAGCTTTAGTTGTTCAGTGTCAGGTTGGATGGGGCTTTGAGCAGTCTGTTCTACTGAAAAATATCCCTGACCATAGCATGAGGGTTGGAACTAGATGATTTTTAAAGATCCCTTCCAAAATAAACTATTCTATGATTCATTCTGTGAACTGAATTCAAGGATGATTTCCACATTTTCAATATGTGACATTTTCATTGCTCTTGGATGCCTGATCTTTAATCTAATTACAACGTGAATCTTCTTTAGCAAATGAACTAACTTTTGCAGAGGTTTCCAAACTGCATATTCTTCCAAATTGTAGTATTACCAACAAGTAATGGAATAAGTTCATGTTGGTGAAGGACATTAGATTCCTATTAAACACATTAAATCATATTTAATTTACATGGCTGTAATTGGCATGTGTTCTAAATGTTCATGTGTGAACAAGCAAGCAATCATGTGAACCCTACCAGGAAAAGTTTTGTTCTGAGGAATGTATTTCTGGAACTGGAATCCTTAAAGAATTATGGCTGAATGATTTTTTTGAGCTTGCTATTACTTGATTACTTTCTGAGGTAATCTAAACTCGAAATCTTATAGAATTATAACATTTAATCAAGATTTCAGAAGCTTTTAAAATACTTGGCCTTTTTTTCTTAATTTCATGAGCTGATTTAGGAGATTAAAAATTAAATTGTATTTTATGATAAAAACATGTATTTGGAAAAATCAGGAGTGTCATTTTCAATAATACTTTTTCTGATGTATGGCACGGATTGCATATTAATTAGCTCTAGGTATTGTTATTAAACCTAATGAGTTGCTGTTCTTTTTTCCCCTTTTCCTATGTCTTCCTGTATCTGCAAAACTTTTCATCCTTGGAGATACATAAAAATGAGACATTAGCTGAAGCTTGCTTTCTTAAAAGTCCAATTTAGTTTGCCATGTACTTAGCTTCTCAACCACAGGGATATATATATATATGCATATTTTCATATTAAAGAAATACATGCATCTCTAAATAACTGATAGATGCATCTTCTTTGTGTACTAATAAGACTGTTTTGTTTTTCTCTGTGCTGTTTGTTCTCCATATTCTACTATTTTAATTCAAACATTTCCCTTGCTGTACATATTAGAATGAGTGCTTATCAAAGCATAACTTTAGCTAATGATACTACAAGTGTCATAAGAAATAATTCAGTTCCTGCTTTAATAAGCAGTGTGTTTAATAAATCCATATAGACTCAGTAGAAGTTGCTCATGATTTTGCTCTGGTTATATATCAGTGTGTATATAAACCCAAAGCTTTATGAGGTTTTGCTGTAACTCTTTGCTAATAGCAGTGATGGGGCAAATTAATTTTTATTCCCTATGGAAGATTTTGCTGCTGGGGTCATGCTGCATTAATTGTGATCAAAACTATATTTTGTGGCTATTTGTATTTGTGAAAATAAGTATGTGTGAATGAAGTATAAGATCTGACAAAAATAAAGTCTATACACTGACCCATCTGAATTGATTTAGTGTATCTCAGAAAACCTCGAGATACAAAATTGTGCTCAAAATACCTTACAACCTAAATGAAGCAAGTTACTTCTAATTTAAGATTATATTCCATGCATCTTAAAAGAACTGCTTCATTTGCTCATTACTTTGTCAAATTTTAAGTATTGTTATGAGGAGTGAACATTTATACATCTAATGATTACCTCAGTTTGTGGAGCTTGGGTTGTTGAGTTTTGAGTAGGATTTTTTACTCTTTGGTATGGTTTATCTCCAAGAATTGTATTGAGGAAAAAAACTAACCTGGTCTATGTAAAGAAATGTGTTCATCTCTTTTCACTGAAAAGCAGTAATAGTTACGTGATTAAAGAATCAAATGAGATAAAAGCTATTTTTCTGACAGAACAGTACCCATTCGTACCTAAGAAAAATAACCAACCCAAACTGTATTACGAGTCTTTACATGTTTTAGAAGAAACAATATAGCAAATAAATGAGATTAGCATGGTTAGGAGATTTTTGAGTTTAACAGCTAAATTCTCAGCGTAATGGTAAGATTAAGGATGAGCAGACAGGGAAAGGGAAACGTGGAGACTGAAGTACAGATGCAGTTATGGACATGATACAAAGTTTTGGCAGAAAGACTTTGGAGATTTAGTGGCAGAAAGATTCTCTCCTGGTTCTTGAGAAGACTTATCTAGGCTGACGTAGGCTCACAGGTCTAAGACAGGCATTTTCAGCTTTTGTCTGTGAGTACTGGCAGAGCGTATGTCTCACCTCCCTTAGCCATGGCTGGTACAGGGATCTCTGTAAGTGCTAGTAAGTGCTCTGTGGGCTCAAGAGACAAAAGCTTGTGCAGGAAATAGAAATTTTCCAACCTGTTTGTGATCTGAGTGACTGGTTTCATATGAAGAAATACTTACAGGGTGATTTCCTTGGTTTTTTGTTATGTTTTTTTGCTTGTTTATTGTCTGGTTTTTTCTTGTTTGGCTTTAGGGTGTTTTGTTTTTTCTCTTAGTTTGTTTTGTTTGTTTGGGGTTTTATCTGTTTTATTCCATTTTAAAACCTGTGAAAATGCATTTTAAAACTGGATAAGGTAAATGTTTTTGTTGCAAGTGCAACCATTAAGCCCAATTGACTAACAAAAGAAATACTAGGTCTGACACTGGATGATAAATACTAGATGATAGTAGTTGATAATAGATGATACTAGTTTAGCTGTGTAACTTTATTTCATCTCACTTACCTGCGTGCATAATGTACGCGTTATTTACACCATCACATTTAATTTTTTTGCAAATATTACCTGCTTTCCATGGTGATATCTTCCAATTTCTGTAATTCTTCTCTCCTTTTTTATTACAAAGCTTGAAACTGTGAATGAAGGAAAAGGAAGGATATCTGGGTAGATGCTTTCCTTGAGATTTAATTTCTGTTTGAGCCTCTACCAAAGAATAGCTGTGTGAGAGTGAGATAATAATTTAAACCAAACCTTTCATGGATGACCTCTGATTAGATGTTCCTTATTTTGGGCATCAGAGACTGGGCTTTTGGAAATGTGGAGCATTCTTACTTACAGCAAAAGTCCCTAGAAAGTGTATATGGAGCTACATAATACTAAACACTTAGAAAAAGATGGTCTGTAGGCATCCCAAGTTAATAACTGCTATATCTCATAGTGACTTAATCTCTCCTCTGTAAAATGGGATAATACTATATCTTCATTCTTCTTGTGAAGTAAATTATGTATTTGTGAATCTTTTCCATGCTGTAATGATGAACATTGCAGAAAAACACGTAAGAAGAGTATGATCCTGATTTTAAAGAGAGATAAATTACATGAAGCCATGCCTGAAGTAATGGCAGTAAAACACCTCTCAATGAAGTTCCAGATTGTGAGAAGGAATATTAAATTAGGGATTGTATCATAATGTCTACATAATGGCAGCTGAATTATGACTGTATGACCAACCTTTTACTTCTGAACTCATGAGTGCTCTATTTTGCGGCCTACATATTCTTGTCATAGGGCCTTGCAGCTTGTGGAATTACACAAAGCAGTGTGCTCATTATTAATCTTTCAGATATATTTTTGTCATATTAACTTATTCCTAATGTATAGAGAATAAATTATATATTGAATAAGAGATGTACTGAGACCAATTTTCCCTACAAGAAAGACTTTGGACCTTCAAAGTTTAGTAATATATGTCTGTTCACAAATGTGCTTTTTTTATTTTTGTGTATATATCCTTCCCTAATATCAGTTTTTGCTAAATCTGCAAGGTATTAATTTGCTGGTAGTCTTTATTTACTCTAAATTGCACATCAATGCCATTACTACATTTCGAGTTAGAAAGGCTAAGATTTAATAAAAGGCAAAAAAGAGAGAACTTGTGAAAAGCTATATTAAGTTTTAGAAAGTCAAAAGCTTAGTTGTATTAAACATTAATAAAACTTATTGGAAAATATATTTACATTTATTTATATATGTATATTCATGTTTAGTGTGTTACTGTGCAAAGTGCCTTACCTAAAATCTAGAGTTAAGTTATTATAAAAATAAAGAAGATATTTCATAGAGAGACATGGATTACCTCACTTCTTGATAGCAGTTTGTAATTTCCTTCATCGAATTTAGCTGAGGGTATTCTGTCATTGTGGTTGGGTTATTTTTGTTTCATGGCTGCATAGCAGTGTTTTAAAAATTTTCTATTTGTTTTATGTTTTTTCAGCTGTCGTGACTGGTTGTCTTGTACCATTCCCCTTGAGTGTATGTGTGTGTTTATTATTTTAAAGAATAACATTATATGTCCAGATAGGGGTCCCATTAACTCTTTTTTTCACTAGAAATTGGCAAAAATTTGCATTGAAGGGTTTAGCTTCATAAAGGATATTTTGTGTTATTACTGAGTGGTGGTTGCTGGTTCTTCCCTTTTAACCATATTGTGAATTTTTCACCACTTTGCATGACAGAGCAAGAAAACAGCAATGCTCAGCTTCACACTCCATGTTTCTGAGAGGCTTTTGTGTAGTCTATATTTAAAGCAAAAACATAAGAAAACAGATGTAAACACTTACATGATGTGATTATAGGCAGAGGCATGTGATTGTCTCAAATTAAAGTTTTTGTAAAAAGCATGTGAAACTGTTATTTGACTGGAAATTTCAAGGAAGATGGCTTAAAATTTCCTTGCAACCTTTCCTAACTAGTGGGTCCCCTATAACAGAATCAAATAAAGTTAATTTAGAGCATTCCGTTAAAAATAGTTTAAACTTATGGTTTTGTTGGTTTTGTTCTTTTTTCACTGAGCAGTATATTAATCAATCCTGGAAACCACGTCAAGATTCAAGAAGGTACCTTAGGATTCTTCATTGCAAGTGATGCCAAAGAAGTAAAAAGGTAAATCATGTGTTTTTATCTTTAAATTTAAACATATATATTTAATGTCAGTTTGTTTCTTTACATGTAAATGCCTCACTTAATTTGCCTTATTATCTGATTCTCAGGGAGAATTGAGTTGTCACTGTAGTGAACCAAACGTATATATATATAAAATTTTCTTAACTAGGGTCCTAAATATCAAGGAAATTAAATAATTTTGCAGCAGATATGAAAAGAAATAAAGAGGCTGGTAGAAGACAGGGATTACAGTTTTGTCTGAGTTTCAGGTTTAGAGAAGTTCTTATTTACATAGACTTTAGCAAATACTTGATGTAAGCAGGCTACTGTATTCATTCAGTAATTGCATTAGCAAAATAATATTTATGTTCTTGTCATTTTTCTTTAATGGAGCTACAAATTCTATGACCTCATAATAATAAATCAAATTACAACAGTGCACTATATTCCAACCAGCTATATTCACAGGCTCATTGTACTTGGCTGTACTAGATTTGGGATGAATGAAAAAGAGTTTTATGGTATTGTGTTTAGGACCAAATGTGTGTATTGTTGTTTGTTAGGATCATTATATGTTTGGAAAGAACAAAGGAGAATTGTGAGAAAATAATTTTTAAAAGGAAGAATTGTTGAATGTAAGAGTTAAAAAAAAAAAAGATTAATATTTGCAGCTGAATGCCTCCTCATAATTTGTGTATTTGTTATGTCATGCCATCAAGAATCAGATTTTTACTTGATGTTCTCCATGAGCTTGCTATTTTAACTAAATCCCACACTTAAAAGGGTGAAATATTCAAACGATACACTTCATTAAGTTCTAAAATTTTTAGGTTTAAATTACAGTGAAATAAGCAATGCATGTTTGCCATGAATCTTTAAAGAAAGTCAAAACATCAAACCAATGAAACCAGAGAACTTGAGTTCTGTTTTTATTGAAAGAGCTAGGATATTTTTTGGCTAGGGTAAAGAATATAGAACAGAACAGCAGTGCTCCTGACCTCTCATATTTCTAGCACCATCTCTGGAGTATGTGCATCCTGCACTGCCTCAGGTGCGCTGCCTTTCAGCATAGAGTTGTTCTCTCTGGTGCTTTTCACCAGTTGAATACACAGAACTGTCTTCATGTTGCTTTACCGAGGTGCTGGTTTTCTTTCATTTATAAGGCACCCTCCAATGATTTTTTTTTCAGACTGCTAGAAAAATGGCATAATATTTTTAACAGGGAGAAGTTGACTGCGTTTAGGGAAATTTTTCACATCATTCATCTATCATGTTTTATCTAATACCAAGCATGAAACAGGATTTCCAATTCTGCCTGGCTTTTTGCAGAAGGCTTGGTTTAGAAACATCCTGCCTCCCTTACAACGTTTCTTAGCTGTTCTTTGCAAAGCAAATGGTTGTCAGATGTGTTTCAACTAACAAAGCCAATTATGAAAAGTGTTCATTTCATCCTTTTGAGCTATGAATCAGAGTCAGAAAAATGTTCTAAAATTGAGGGGGTTTGGAGAGGGAAAAATAAATTTTTAATAAAACAAAATTAAACATGTTATGTACCTGAAATTCAAATTAAATTATTCTGATTTTTTGTTAATGAAGAAATTCCAGCTCCCTTAAGCTAAATCTATTCATATTTCTATATCCCACAATGAAATATAACATATGATGTTCAATTACTCTTCCTGCTAGAATCACTTTTGCATTTTTAGAAAAACAGTTTCCCATTAGAAGCAATTATACCTAGAAACAATTATGCCTTGGTAAATAGCTTCACATAAAATGTCAAGTGTTTAAATAAAACACAAACTGTATGAATTACATCTTTATTGTTCTTTATTCATTTAAATGTTAGTACTATGATCAGAAATCCATATGCTTCAAATCCACGTAATTCACTCCAATTATATAGAATGATAATTTTATTACAGCAATCACTTCAAGTATTTGCTCTTGGCTTTGGACATAGGATTGAAGGTACTCTAGGACATTTGTCCTGAAGTGAACTTCAGAAACACGGTCTCTAGAAATCACACAGAATCACAGAGAATCAACCAGGTTGGAAAAGACCTGTGAGATCATTGGGTCCAACGCATGACCCAGCACCACCCTGTCAACTAGATCGTGGCACTAAGTTCCACATCCAGTCTCTTCTTAAATACCTCCAGGGGCGGTGACACCACCACCTCCCTGGGCATCCCATTCCAATGTCTGATCACTCTCTCTGTAAAGAATTTCTTTCTTGTGTCTAACCTTTACCTCCCCTGGCACTTGTGTCCGGTGCGTGTCACGAAGTTTTGTGAGGTAATATTTGTGGTAGTTAATTCTTGTTCAATAAAGGGGCTTACAGCTGGAGTGGGGAGAAATTGTAAAAATTTGAGGAATTTTTCTCTTCCTGGCTTATTTCTTGGCATCAAGCCATGGTTTGAAACATGTTTTATTCTCATTTCCTTGGATGTAATTTGTTTACTTTCTGGTGGAATGTGAATATCTTGAAGACCAGAAACTTTCTGCAGCAAAGTATACAAATGCTTAGAGAAGGTTTTTCATTTTACATTTTGCATTTTAGAAATAAGGCAGCCTGAAAGAGTAATCTTCCTGGAATTTTCTTAGAGAAATTAAGTGTGCTACGTTTAGGACTTGTATCTTCCATCAGCAGTTTCATGCTATATTGATTTTAGAAGTGTTAATAACATTCAGTGAGGTTTCACTGCAATTTATATTTGTATTCCCTGGTTCATATCTTGTATGCTAGACTTGCTTTCTTTCTCCTGATGGGCCACTTAACTACCAGGGTCATTTTTCAGAGGTGTAAAATAACTTAGATAAATTTTTAACTATTTAAATTAGGTATCTAGTTTATATCTCTGACCATTTCCTTTATTATAGTTCTACCTGTGGTGGCCACACTCTACTTAATTTAGAAGAAATAGTAGTGATCATCCTAGCTGTAGCGACAAAGGGTGTGTTTAATCAGAGACTGTGTACTAATATTGTTTATTTTTCTTTTTATATTTTGGACTGTAGATTGTTCTGTTTCAGAGACCTCCCTACTGTTGTAGCAATCCAACCAGCCAGTACTGTCAGCAAAAGCTATGGGTGGTCGCAAAGTGGCAGCTTTGCTTCTTACTGCCAAAAATTATATTGAGAAGTATGCAATGAGGGGGGTCGGCATGATAGGCAGGGAGTTGACCTATGCTGAGCATGGACAAATACAGGGAAATAAGCAGGTTAAGAAAGTATGTTTAATTTGTTATGCCAGCAAGAATCCTGCTAAACTGTATCTGTCTAGCTAGAGGCCAGCTGTGTGTGTGATCCTCATGAAATGTGTCATAGCAGCCTTACATGGTATGTTGACTTGACAGGCATGATTAAACTCTCCTCTGGGCACTCTGATACATATTTATTAAATTGGAATTTTTTTTAAAATCTTATATAAAGTAAAAAGTTTATCCTTTCCCTCTTTCTTAGTTCTCCTTGTGCTTTACCTAGTGGTGAGCCATTTGATAGAAGAGTAGAAGTCCGTGAACAAAAATGTTAAATAGAAACCTAGATAGTTCATCTTGTTAATTGCATATTCTTATTTTAAATTTTTGCTTTTGTCTGTTCAAAACCAAAATGGTTCTTCTTTATTTAGATATGAAGAACAAAAAAAAAGAGAATCGTAGGATCATAGAATGGTTTGAGTTGGAAGGCAACCTTGAAGATCATCTAGTTCCAACTCCCCTATTGTGGGCAGGGACACCTTCAACTAGTCCCAGTTGCTCAAAGCCCCATCCAACCTGGCCTTGAACATCTCCAGGGATGGGGCATTCACAACTTCCCTGCACAACCTGTTCCAATGCCTCACCACCCTCACAGTCAAGAATTTTTTCCTAATATCTAATCTAAACCTACTGTCTTATCAATTTAAACCCATTCCCCCTTGTCCTGTCACTACATGCCCTTGTAAATAGTCTTGTCCCATCTTTCCTGTAAGTTCCCTGCAGGTATTGGAAGGCTGCAATTAGGTCACCCCAAAACCTTCTCCAGGTTGAAAAAACCCAATTCTCTCAGCCTTTCCTCATAGGAGAGGTGCTCCAGCACTGATCAGTTTGGTGGCTTTCTCTGGACTCGCTAGAACAGGTCAGTGTTCATCCTATGCATGGGGCCCCAGAGCTGGATGCAGTGCTCCAGGTGGGGTCTCACCAGAGTAGAGGGATGGAATCACCTTCCTTGAGCTGCTGGCCATGCTTCTTTTGATGCAGCCCAGCATATGATTGGCTTTCTGGGCTGCAAGTGCACATTGCCAGCTCATGTCCAGTGTCTCATCCAGCAGCACCCCCAAGAACTTCTCAGCAGGGCTACACTTGATCTTTTCATCCTCCAACCTGGATTGATAGACCCGTGTTGTAGACCCTAACCATGAAGTTCTCTTTGTTACCTTCGTCTCTGATTTTTACCCACAGATTTTCTACCTGCTCATGGCTGTTTTTCAGAGACAACTCTTCACACTTAATCCCTGTCTTGATGTGGAAGGCAACCCCTCCACCTCTCCTTCCTTTCCTGTCTCTTCTGAACAATCTGTACCCACCAATAGTCACACTCCAGTCATGGGATTCATCTCATAATAGTCTGAATCAAGATTTAGATGTTATTTAGTTGTTCCTTTAGGAACTTATTTTGAGTAGATTTTCCCTTTCTGATTTGGTTTCGGGTTGGTTTGTTTGTTTGTTGTTTATTTTTTTTTGCAAATAACATGTCTGATATTTAATGTCACAGTGATCTCATTGCAGTTTCAGTGTAGCTAAAATGAAGTCCTACTTGTGACCAGCCTGAAGAACTGGCCTAGGGTGCTGGATAGTCTTTAAAAAACCCCACCCTGCTATAGCTCATAAGAACAGAAAATTAATTATATATATTTGTTTTTGTGACAAAGGTCATTGGATGCTCTTTTTTCTAAGATGAAAGAGAACTGAACTGATACACTGTGTCATAATTAATATCCCTTCTTCCAATTACTTTTCAAATAAAAGTATATTAAAAGAAACACTAATTTGGAGTCTTATGTTTAAAATTAATGGTTTTGCAGCAAACATTTCCTACTTTAAATGTCTAAACCTTTTCAAAGATTAAAGGAAATTAGTGTTGGCATATTTCATTAATTTTTCACTGCAACAAGAGGAAATGTGGGACTAATTTCATTTATATGGATTAAGAAATGTGTCGGTTTTCCCATTCTCGCTCTCCAGGGCATATTTTTACTGCAAGGCCTGTCATGATGACATCACGGATCCCAAAAGGATAAAAAAATGTGGCTGCAAACGGCGTAAGTAATATTTCTATCACTCCCTTCCTCTCCTTTTCATGAACTGTTCAGCCCTGAAAAATACCTATACGTGTATTTACGTGTTTTGCTCAGTGGTACAGAAAAACTAAGAAATAAATGCACAGTAACACAGTAAGTGCCATTTGCATTTCGGAAGTCTCCATGTCTTTATTACATTTCACACCACTCACACACCTATGTCTTCATTAAAAAATCCGTTAAGGGTCAATGCTAGCAAAACCTGAAGAATTAAGTCAAGCTAGATCTGATTGTGGAGGTTTCTGAGTTAAGAATTAGCCAATGGTGAAGTTTTGCTATCATTCATCACATGCAGAAATCCAGTATTTCAATAGTTTTCTTTACAGTAAAGAACTTCTGTCTGTCTTGCAGAACATGATTCTGTAAAAGAAGCAACTAGGGAATTCTATTATATCATATAACTATTAAAATAAATCATTTTTAAATAAGTGAACAGTTTTAGTGGAGGAAAGGATTGTCTGGAAGAAATTAAATATTAGTGCCTCTTATATATATCCTTTTAGCTGTAATGCTAATATTAAGTTTAGGTAAGTTCTTAAATTGTTTAGACAGTTTTTCGTGAAGAAATAATTGAGTTTTGGAATTGAGACCAGACTTTGCTTCTGAATTTTTATAAATATGTAGCAATTAGCATTTTACCTATCTGTACTTCGAAATTATTTTCCAGGGACTATCACAACCACATTTTGGCCAAAGATGTGTTTGACCCATGCATATTTGTAATACTGATAGAAAAATAATTTAGGGATTCATTCCTGAATGGATATATGAATATTTATGTGCATTCTGTGGTATTCTGCCATGAAAAAGATCACTCAGTTCAAAAGTACTGATTAAGTAAATTGAAAGAAATCAGAAGAGTTTGATCATGTCTGTTTTGCCACTATTTTCAAAAGGGAAAAAAACCCTCTTATTTATAGTTTTGAGTCAGTGTTATCACTGTGCGATTTTGAAGGACAGAAGAAGCCTAAACTGGACATTCTCTGCCTTTACGGAGTGCCTGAAGTGGATGAATTCTTGAAGATGATTTTGAAAAGAAAAAATATGTCACTGGAGTTTTTTTAAAAAAACTCCTGTCCCCAAAAAAACCAGGAGTGTGGAACAACAGTATAATTGAGCGAAAGCAGCTGAAACACTGTCAGAAAATGATATTTATCTTCCCAGTAGCCACAAGGAGAGCAAAGCACATGGAAAGCATGCCTGATGTGGAAGGAATGTATGCATTGCCTAACATATTGGAAAAAAATTGTTCAAGAACAGTTTATCCATGTGAGAATGTGACCTTTGAACTGCTGCCAAAGCCAATGAGTCTGCTGAGTAAGTTCTGGTAAAGCCAGTTACAGATGCCTCAGGGTGCCTGTAGCTCTCAAACAAAATCTTTTTTCCAAATTACTCAACAGTTAAAGAGAAATATGTTACCTGTTTAATTTGATCTGGTTCTGTCAGGGAAAAAAAAAGACCTATTATATTTGTATTTTCTTCTCTACTCTTCCTTCACATAATGTATGCTTTTTAAACATGTTCTGCTAAAAAAAAAAAAAATCCCCAAAATCTGTCAGTTTAATGTGAGGTCTACAATTTTCATTGTCATTTCTTAGAAGATAGGAATCATGAATTAACACTATAAAGGGCAAGAACCCTTTTTTGTATATTAATGAGAATCAAGGTAACCTCCTCAATACTAGGAAACCTTGAAGGAGATAGTATCCTGAAACTCAGCCAACACAATGGATATATTACCAGCAGTAAGGCCATGGAGAGGCAAGAGTAACCACTTCTGTGAGTAGCAATAGGAAATGTTACAAATGGCATGGTCACACATCAGTCCAATAAATGAAAGGGTGTTGGACAGATGAATAAACAAAATGATGGAGTTAGTGAGGCAGAAGAAGGAGGCAGCTGTCAGAGCTGGCACAGTAAGCACTGAATGTTAAGGAGGGAATCCTCTGAGTCAGATAAAAAAGGAGAAAAAACATGGTCAGTGAGAGTAAAATCTTAAATTTCCCTTTCATTGTCTTCTCTCTCCCTCAATCTGCCCTCTCTCCTCCCATTTCCTAGACACAGATAGGGTCACAGGTACTGTGATAGTAGGCAGCCCTTAGTACACCTGAGAACAACTTTCTCTTAAGGCCATGATCACAAGTATTAGAAATAATACAGTTGCTTCACTTTTAAAGTACTGTCATTAAGCAGAAAGTTTAAATGAAAAATTTCAACAGTAATTAGTGATTTTTGGTTCTCAAATGTTATTGACGATCTTGAGATCCCTTTTATGGGACCTGTTCTTTTGGGGTTTCTTTTGGTTTTTTTTTTAAGGTAAGTCTTTAGTGGAGCCTGTTATTCACATAAAATATTTTAGCTTTCAAATCACTAATCACTTTTGAAAAACCTTAACTATGTTATCCCTCTTTAAGCCGCACAAATCATTGTTCTTAAAAATGTAGTCTAACCAAAACAAAGGATAAATTGAGAAAACTCTTTCTCTATTGAGTTAGAAAACTGTTAACTGATCTGTCAACAGCTAGTATGTCAATTTGGTTTTCAAAGACACTTCATACAGTCACAAATGCATCTGTGTAGTCCTATATGTTAAATATGTATTTTAATTAGGGAGTAACATAGTAATTAGAGGCAGCTGAATGCAGAAAATATGTAAGATTAAATGAAAGGTTGTATGTAAAAATAATGACACATTCAGGTGAATTAACCGTGAAAGAATATCTTTACATGGAAAACTTAATTATGGTGGCATTAATTAATGCAGCTTCCCATGACACTTAAAACCCACATTCTTTAATAACGCATCTGAGGTTGCACTTCAATTTAGATACTTTCTGAACATTAGCTTGTGATATTGTTGGGGTCTAAACGTGAGTCTGACCTACATAGCCATTTGTCCAAACTTGTTAGGCCTAATGTTAATAATTCAGGGCAGATCAGTACATTTCTACAAGGCTAGGGATAATTAATGTAATCTCGCTTTCCTTTTGCAGTTTTCTTGCCATCCTTTTCTCCTTACCCATCCACTCCCTGAATAACATATGAATGCTGATGTCACATTGTCCAAAGAAATACTTGTGTGGAAATTTTATTCACAGATTGTTAATTTTTTTCAATGTTTTCAATCTCTTTCTATTTCATTTAACTGTAGTTTTTGCAGCAAGAGGCCAAATATATGTATATATTTATATAAAATACAGCCACGTTGGGATGAAATCTCTAAACTGGATGACCTATTCCTCCTGTTTCTTTCATTTTGTGCAACAGCTATGGTCTAATTCTCTATATATTTTTTCCAGTGACAGTGCTTGCTGTGAACGGTGGGGGTTGAACCCCAGAGGGGACATATCATGTGTACATTGATGTGTTTGAAGGAATTTCTTGTAATCTATGACAATTGACAAACTTTTGATTTATTTTTCCTCTTGCTGCCTTGGAACACGGCCCCTACTATATTTTAACTGCACACTGATAGTGATCTATTGTGAGTAAAAATGGGTTCCCTGTAGCCCAGAGTGCGGTCCAACCTGTCTTTCTCTAGCAGAGAGTATTTTTGTTCAGTATTTTGGTTCTTTTTTTTATTTATGTTGCATGTAGCAGTGATGTCATACCCACAAGTTTCTCATTGTTTACACCAATGGAGATTAGGGTGACATTGAAGAAAATACAGCAGTTTTCCCCTCTTCTACCTATTTACCCCTTTTTTCCACACACTTATTTTTTTATCCCTATTTGAAAATGAGATCTTGGGAATAGTATTTTCTTGAAATTATTCTAGAGATATCTCATGAATTCTTAGGGATATTGGTTAGGCTGGGGTAACTGCCACTGTAGCACTGTTGGCCTGGTTAAGTACAATTCAATTAATTGTCAGACCTTTGTTCAATTTTTTGGTACTTTGTCCTTTCCATTGCATAGCTGACACAAAGAGCAACACAGCAGTCTTTTACTGTCCTTATCTAACTTCTTTTTCCCCATTGGTAGAATAGAAAAAAAAGTTGATGGGGGAAAACTAGACAATGAATTAACTGTGTGGCTAACTTTTATTCTATAAACCCAGAGATATCTTCAACAGGAAACAAGCTACAGTGATTATTTTCCTGAGCTTGCTGGTTTGGAAATTAATTGCATAAGTAGACGCACACTAACTTTTCAGGACCTTAGCTGTAAAGTTTTACATTATTATTATTATTATATATAGAATAGGAACTTTATAGACCACTTCATGTCAATCTAGGTCATACCACTTTAAAGTGTACAGAATCTATGAAGGCTCTCATCAGCCACTTTTTAGTGTGTAAATCATCACAAGAGTGTGATGATTTAAATAAACACAGCATTTGGGACATGGAAAGAATTTGCTGCAAAGAAATGTACTGGTTATAGGGCAGCGTTGAGATTATATGGACTTGTTCTTTCAAACAGCAAGGGGCATCAAGTATCTCGGAACTGCAGTGTGGCATTACTGTACCAAATTGAGGCTGTAACCATACCATGGAACTGCAGCTATTCTAAGTAAGTGAGGCTGTGAGACTTCTTCAGCATTTTACCAGATAGTCTGGATTTATTGTGTGAACACACTTCAGGTCTTAATCAGGATTGAGATATTTTTTCCCCTCTCAGCTGTACACACCGTGGGATCTTGCAAAGAATCAAGGAAAGATTTATGCTCCTGGCATTGCATGATAAAGTGCTGGCTGTCTTGAAATTGCGATGGCTTGCATTATGATTACCATTATTTTCTATTTATCTTATTGTGGTGCCTGCAAACTACTCTAAAGGACTGAAATCCTGTTGTGGAAGAAGGAGTTCAAGGAGAGAACAGAAATTTTTCCAGATCTGTTTATAGCCTACCAAATGACACAGCAGAAGATGGGGCAGCAGAAAAAAGCAGATTATGAAACAGATCAGCATGATAAGAATCAATAATAAACCAGAAATAAACTAATTTCTATGGATAAAATGATGAATCCTATTAACTTTGAGGCAAAATAGTGGAAGTAATTTGGATTTATTTGGAACAATGTATTTATTTAAAACATATTTCTATGTTGAGGCCTTTCTGAATAAGAGAAAGTAGTTTAAATAGTAATAAATAAACAAATAAAGGAGTTCTTTATGCTACGAAAGAATTGTAAAGGTCATGTAGCTTTGTTTTTTTTTTTTTCCATTTCCCCAATAGCTTCAGTTTGTTCAATGATTATCTTTGAGAGTACACTGGCTGAGAGTCTTCTTTAAGGTAATGAAAGAAAGGTCATGATCAGATTTAAAAATTAAGATGAATTGGTCTATAAATGTGCCATTACATCAAAACTCATGAGCCATTCTTATAGCAACTAAAATAGGGCAAAATGTCCACTCAGGTCTCCTGGTGTTTTTTACAGTTTTGACAAAGAACAGCACATTTTGAATTGGAGCAAACAAGAAACCAGTTGCTTTTCATTGCAAAAATTGCAAGACAGTGAAGATGCTCACTTGTTAGTCTTGAAGTTGTCTTGTAAAATTAAATAACGGAGAGATAGCTTTGCCTGTTGTGTTAAGTGAAAATAAATCCTCACAAACATGCTGCTGTATTTTTCGGGAAACTGAAACTGTGCTGGAGAAGTCCTGTGTGTATTCCAGTCTCATGATACTAAAACCAGCATCGCTGAGAGATGATCAGGCCAGTCTGGTCGTCCTTTAATGCTGCTGATATTTTATGCATAGTTTGGATCATGAGAACTTGATGAATTGAAATGGCGCTGTGCATTTCAATTCTGAAGTGTAGTGTGACCTTTATATACCATTTGCTGGTCAAGAAACCTCCACTTCCTCTTAACCAGCTGCTACCTCGTAGAGATCCACTAGATGTCCTCGGAGATCCACTCTTGTTACTGCTGAGGTCAGGGGAAACTACCGTAGTGACGGGAGGATTACGAGGATGGGGTAGACTCTATGGTCAAAACAAACAAAAAAAAATCAGCAGAGATGAAGGGACACTTTGTTCTGCTTGCCTTTTTTTTTTTTTTTTAAAAAAAAAAAAAAAAAAAAAAGAGTTGTTCCTTGACATCTTTGGTAGAGAGTAATCTGCAGTTTCCTTTGCTTATTTTTGCAGCTGGAAATATTTCCCATTACTGTTTGTGAACTCTAAGTAACACTCAGATCCAGACAATCTAGACATTTGAACTGGACTTTTTGAGTTTTTGAGATGAGAAAGTAAGGTACTGCCCAAAGCTTAGACATCTAGGGCACATTCCTTCTTTATTAGAATGGAAGGCTACTGCCTTCTGAGAAAAATTGCAAAAAAAAAGTTTTAAATGTATTTATTTACTTTATAAGTAATTGAAAGAAATTTTGCTGTCTTTTTGCTCTTAATGAGTCAATGAGCAGTTCATAGATGCCTTGTTTTCTTAGTAAATTATTTAAGCAGTCTTATCTTCATGTCCATGAAAACTTTCCCTGATATTTTTACTAATTAGTTTTAGAAGTGCTGTATTGTTGTCATTATATTAAGTAGAAGGATCTGTTCCTATTTTTTAACATTTATTATTCACTTGAAAATAGGGAAGTAGTTTCCTTTTTGTCCCAAGTTACGTTTTCACCAGTATCAAATAACAGTTCTATTCAACACCCATAACACTTCTAGGCATAGAAATTAGTTGATTCTTATGCAGGTTCTACAGGTGTCAGATGAATTTAACACTCACCCAAAGGCTGTTCTTGAGGTCCCCCTGTCTCTCTGATGATTTCCATTTTTTGTTAATGTTTATGGAAGTTTTACCGAAAATGGTGTATGTGTGGCTGAACCATTTGAAATCATTTCTGTCTCATCTTTGATCTTGTCTCTAGTCATCCCTACTAATAGTACGTGTTTTGTTTTATTTAAAATAAGTAGTGTATTTGGTGTGAATGTAACTGACTGTATAAGAGGAATGAAGAGTAACAGCATGTTTTCTTTCCAAAAGTTATTGCTCTGATATGCAGTTGCTTATATACTGGTTGAAACCCTTATAGAAAGTCCTTTCTGCTACTTATATTTCCAGGTCCAAGCCTGTTTCCTGCATGTTAATGATGTGAAATATTCAAATGATGCATGATCTCCAGAACAACTGACAATAATAGTTAAAAACAGTCCCTGAAGGGCATTGCTTTTGAGAATCTCCATGGTGTCCTTCCCCTACTGAGCAGAAGGCCATAAACTTCCCACTTTATTGGTTTAAGTCTGATTAAAATGATACAAAAAGTTGTCCTTCCCAGCCTTCTTTGCCCTTAAGGATGATTTCTTTTTAATTTTCATAAATGTGTCCTATCCTATTATTGACTGTTGACAAGATATGGCTACAAGTAAATGAAAACCAGGGACTGTTACTAACCAATGACACAGCAGTTGAGAATTTCAGTGTGCTTTGCTACAGTGTTTGATTAGAAAATGTCCTTCAAAACAGCTATAATTAAAGCAAAATGGGCCTGCCTTTTACCTCACCTACTGTTACTGTTTCACAAATGCCCTTTATTTTTCTTTAATTTCCTTAATTAGTAAAATAGGCATACTGGAAAGACTTCCACACTTTTGGTAACTTATTTCACTTTTCTTTTGCTGTCCAACTTTTCAACTTTAAAGAATGTGATGGGAAGAGTTAGACAGAGGGGAAACCATGGGAAAACAAATGCTGTTTTGAATTTTCTGTGTAGTTTGAATGTGTATGCATCAAAAGCTGCAGCGGAAACCTTCTTATTTAAAATCCAAGCTCTGAGGAATGATGTACCATGCAATGAACAAGCCTGATGCTGCATGATGACTTTCTGAACAGCTGTAAGATAACTCTACTAGGATGCTAAAAGAACATGGCATTAGTCATGTGAGCAAAGTTTTAGAGGAATGGAGTCGCTGCTGAAGAGATCACTCATTCATCTCCCTCAATGCCTGTTTTCCACAATCATAATGTTACCCTTGCTTGACAAGTATACTATATGGCAAGTCATCAAGGCCTTAGAACAGGACTTGACCCATTTGAGTGATTTCAATCCCTCTTTCCTGGTGACTGTGGGATTAAGAAACTGGAAAAAAAAAGATAAATTATTTTAAATTTAATGTCATTACCATAATGCAAAAAACCCCATCCTAAACTGAAGGTACAGGCCAGAGAAACATTACCTTTTTTCTGCATTTGCTTTTAAGGTTTTGTTTTTGCCTGTCAATGTTGTTTTGTTTTTAGTATAATTGAGTCAGTTCAATCTAAACCATTACCAAAAGTGTTGGTTCAGTGCAACATGTGAAACAATCTAAGTGGCCTTTGGATTTCTTCAGATTTAAACAATCTGTGATTCAGATAACATACAAAATTTAATGATGATATTTATACATACATTTATGAAATAGGATGCTGTATATTTCTAGAAATACATAACAAGGACGTTCGGATGACTGAAGGATTAAAATGTTTTAGCTAACCTGCCACTTGTTTTGGAATTAGTGCCTAATTCTACATTCAGTTATTTGATTCTTGTTTGACTTTTGAATCCAGAGCAGAAAACACGCCAATGATTGATTCAGCATGTTTCAGTGGACCAATGCTCTATGTGCTTTTGGTGATGCCTTATTTGTGAACTGATCTTAATGTAAGCATATTTACCATTATTAGTTGTGTCTCTTATATGGGCAAATTTTGGTATTCTGTCAAGAGTTAATTTTAATTCCTGAAGATATAATGTAAGCAAAATAAATTTTTCAGAAAATTTTATTAACATCTTGTAACTCTTTAGTGATGTGTAATTTATTGCAATAAAGGAGTTCCTTGGCACAGTTTAATACAGGGGAATTATTATCATATGTTTAAGAATAAATATATTTATATATATGTATCTATATGTGTGTAAGTGTATAATGTATATGTGCGTGTGAGTGTGTGTATGTAAGAATTTATGTGTATGTGTGTTTTTGTGTGTGTATACATACATATATATTTATAGAAAAAAACCTCAAATTTTTACAGGAAAAAGGATACAGCAAAAGTATCTAATGGATTAGCAACTCTTTTTTTCATTTAAACCCAATAGTATTAATTGTGCCAAGGAGAAAGTATATTCTTAGGATTCTGTGCTTTTACTATGTTCTATTTGGATCCAAACACTTGACTGTAAACAGTAATTCTTCCCCGTGACTGCGGTCACCCTATAAGACTGAACAGAAATAAAGAGCAATTTATCTTTTGCCCTACTTTTAATGTACAGCCAAAGCGTTATCAATAATCTCATTGCATTTTTTTTTTCCTGGGTCAAGACTGTTAACATTAACTAAGGCCTGTATTGAATCCCTTAAATTACCTTCCAGCTGCCTTGTTATATATATAACCTTGCCATTAACCTGCTGCTCTTCCTCTCCTCCCATCCAACACATGGTTATAGCCAAGATGTCCATCTACAAGAGAATGAAACTGGCATGTTGTTTTGATTGCGGACGCTCTGAGCGTGACTGCTCTTGCATGTCAGGCAGTGTACATAGTAACATGGACACCCTTGAGAGAGCCTTCCCACTTTCTTCTGTCTCTGTTAATGATTGCTCCACCAGTTTACGTGCCTGTAAGTTTTAACACCAACACATGCTGTTCCATGTCTGTGGTGTCTGTGGTATCATCCCCGTCTTGTGTCGTACATTGTAGTTCTGTGAATTTTACTGGGCTGATGCTTTTTAAAAAACCAACCCCAAATTTGATTACAGCTCTGTCTTTATATTTATGTTTTAATTTATTTTTAATACAGAAAATTTAATTCATTATTTTGCTTTGTGTGCTCTTTATAAAGCATCCTCTTGCTATAGTTTGCAGGACCTTAGTAGTGCAGTTTCGTTACATCTTTTTTATTTAATCCATACAGTACAAATTGTCATTAATTAAAAAATAAGTGCTTCAGTGGAGGAACCGGCCTGTGTCTAAATATCTGGCTGTTGCTAAGCAGGTAGCTAGCTCTAATGATGGTGGTACTAGAGCACCGTACAATTGGCAGTGAATAAATATACAGGATTCAAGGTAGTAGCTGAACTATGGTAGCTGGAATTCTATCCTATACTGCTATTATTATCTTTAGTTTTGTGTGTAACCCTTCATTCTCAATAAGGCAGAACCTTCCATGTAATATTGAAACCACAGAAATATTAGTAAAAATGGTTGTACTTTTTGTAGTGCTTTTTTAGAAGGACTGGCCTGATAGAAATCCCTGGTACAAACATTTTGAAATTAATTGTAGAATCTGTCCCATAGGATGGTAACTATCTGAAATATGCCACAAAAGCTCTTTTGAAAGATCAGAGTCTAGGGGGAGAAAACAGAGAGCTTAGAACAATTCTGCATAGCCGTTAATTCTTTGGGTGAACTATAGGAATTCCAAAGCTTGGTTTGTCAGTGTGATGTCACCAACTGAGGAAGATTGTTAAACAAAATTATTTTTTTGGTTTCATTTTCTTGTCCTCTTTAATCATTCATAACAGGCAAAACTATGTCTTGGGACAGGAACTGTTTTTCTTTCCCTACCCAAATGGCAAAGAAAACTATAAAGTTATTCAAATACCTCTATGAAAAGTTTTTGGAGTTTTGATCAGGAAGCATGTCCGCTTTACATTACAAGTCATTAAGTACAAAAGTGCCTTCCACTATGAAGGCTATAATGTAGTTAATAGATTATGCATCTGGTTGTCTTTTGATGCTTTGTGTATTTCAGTATGTAGTCCAAGTGGTGAATGACTTTGGTTTAACTATTTTGACATTTGAGCTATTTTTCCGGTCACAAATATAACAATGCTATAAATTTTTGTCTGAAGACTGTGTCAATTGAAATTATTTTAATAGGATTTCTTGGAGATTTTACCAGAAATCTCTATATCTGTTTATAAACTCCTAGTTATCTGCTTAGTGACAACTCATGTATCACCTCAGGGTGGATGGTTCCCAGTTTTAAGTCCTGTTCTAAATAACATAAGTTTTTATCCTTTTAAGAGACCTTTATCAGAGTAAAATGAAACAAAACATATTTTGTTAAGAAAAGTGAATGAGAAACCTTCCTGTATTGAGAATTGCTGCAGGCAGTTACTTATACAGTGTAACAGCCCCAGTAACACGGTGCCTGGTATAGTTTGTATTCATACAGACTGCTACAGAGAGTACGTGGGTGGGTCCTGGCACTAGTGTTAACAGCAACTAGATTAGGATAAATTAATATGTCTCCTACAAGTGGATAAAATTTTTGCCATTAGCACTGTTTGGCAAGGAAAGAAAAACTAATTTGTAGGTTTACCATAGCTTTCAAGTCCACTTAAGACTCTACAGGGGCAGATAAAGTAAACATTTTTGATTGCATTGCCTGCTGAGCCAAAAACTTCCACAATAATGGTATTATTTCCAACAAAAACCAATGCTTTTTGGGAAACACGTTAGATCTGTGTTACATTTTGAAGGATAAGTGATATTGACAGCTTTGAGGATTTTTAGCATCCTATCCTTCAAGGGCCTTTTCCCCTCTTCATCACTCCATCAAATCAAAAGAGATCTCACTCTTCCCCTTGTGAGACTAGTCACCTTTGACTGGTAATAATAAGTACGAAAATCAATACCAATTCACACTCCGTGCAAAGCAGCATAAACCTTTCTTTTCCAATTAAAATATATATATACACGCAACGTTGCACTGGCAGGGCTTCAATAGAAATCAGTATGTTTTCTTTGCAGTGCATAGGGGTCGTGTGATGCCCATCTTGACAGAGCTAGTTAACTCAAAGAATGGCAGTGAGAGTCAGCTTTTCATTAAATATGAGCAGATGTGAAATGTAGAGTGTTTGACAATTAGAAATGGCAGCAGCAGGGCCCCAGAATCAAAGTGAGGTCAGATTGGTGGATCAGATTACCTCTCTTACATTCTTTAGTTGTTCTGAAAATCATTTTGAATTAGTGTCAGTGGAGCCATGATGGGTTTTGCCCTTTGTCTTTTATGCTAGGACTGTATTGTTTCCCCAGACACTCATTAAAGGTCATTATACTATTACAGGGCTTGCTTTGGTCGTGGTGCCCCAGTTGAGTTGGTTTGCTTCTACAATTGCTTAATGCATTTCTTTCTTTCTTTCCTATATTTTTTTTTAAAACTTCTGATTATAAAAGCAGGCTTTTTTCCCAAGGCAAATAAAATCCCAGACCATTATATATATCTTCTTGAAACAGTGAGTAGTTTTGGTGAGAATTAGTGCTGTTTCTAAGAATCTGATGTTGAGTAGAAGATATCAATTTACATATTCAATGATGTACACAGGATTTAGTCTACTAATTGCATAATATGCAGAGAAAGTAACACTTGCAGTGTGTTTTCCACTGCAAATGAGTTTCTCTTTTATTGTATTGTTGTTTGTACTTCCAGCAAATGAAAATCATATTTTGATTAAATATAATTACATTAAAGGAGCTATTGAGTTTATAGGCTGTTTTCTGGAAAAAATGCATATAATTTTTTTAAATGTAAGGAAATATAGTTTTGAATCTTTTTTTGTGTCTACATTTTTTCAGGTTTAGCTGCATTTGGTAGATTGCTACATGAACAGCAGTCAAATGGTCCAAGTATTTTTTGCACTGGAGACTCAAGTCAATTAGGGTGAAGAGAGGCACTTAACCACTGAAAAACCTAGGGGGGTTTATACAATGAAATTATGTTATTAATAAGTGTGATGTTTCTGCTTAGGTCTATGCCAAATCTTGGGGGATGCCATTCAAATGATTAAGTGATACAGACAGAAGCTTCACCTGAATCATTTAATTTCTGTGTTTCTGTATCACCATATGTCTGTGCTTCTCAGGAACATCATAAGTTCAAATTCCGAAAGGAAACCTTTTCTAAAGTTGTCGCTGTGCCCACTGCCATGGGATTCTAAATTCCCGACAAAATATTAGGCCCAGGCACACCTAATTCAGCCTGTGAGAAAACATGCTTTGGCATGCTCTGGTAGTTCTGAGAAGCTCTTTGTGAAGGCTTTTGCTTTAGTGAATATCGGGGATCTCTAGAGACAAAATAAGAGATTAATTATTGCTATGTTTTGAATGCAGGGCTCAACCCAAACTCCTAGCCATCTTATGTGGAAAGACCATGCTAAAACAAGTTGGAGAAAGCTTACCTTTTCAAAGTAACCAAAGCATGTATCTACCTGTGTACTAGACCCAGTTTAGAGCCATATATTCCATATAGTCTTTTATTGTCAGCATGTGATTTATGTTGTACAGACAAGTTGGCTGCTGAATCTCTCTCAAAGGACCTAAAATCCCATTCTGCAAGATTAGGTGAACATTTTGGGCAGCTTGAACCAAGACTGGTACATGGTGCTGAAACAATGTGTGGCAATGTGCTTTAGCAAGTTAGGTCAAGAAAAACTAACTTCTTCATTGACCTGTGTTACTTAGGGCAATGTAGACTTTGCCTGTGCAACTTTAAAACTGAAAAAGCCAAATTCTATGGTGAGAGTTGAAATTATATAACTGATTTAGCCAGAGAGGTCAATGCATAACACACACAGACATTGGTCAGTGTATCTAAAACTCCTCAGTTATATTACTATGTTTGGGCTTTTCTAAATGGTTTGACTATTAAGTCCTGCCTTCTTGAATAACTGGCTGAGGAGATAGCATACTCTTTATTTCTCCTGCAATGAGGGGACATATCCTCTGCTTTCTATCCTCTGCTTTTCTAACCTACTACTTCTCTAGTCCTGCTGTAGTAGCCAAGACAACAAGAACTACTTGCTTTTTCATGCATGAGCTAAGGTGCAGGAAGGGCCTGTATGTGCCCTATCAGAAGACAAATTTCAGTGCTAGAATTTTCTGTTTACCCTTTAGCAACAATGATTTTCCATTTACAGGATGCATATACCACCTTGTGGTAGCTAGAGACTCTGAGATTCTCAAACCAGCTATGAATATGATCCCATTTACATTATATTTGTAATGCTTTGACTATGAGAAAGTGGAGCAGTACCACTGCTCTCTCCCACTACACACCTTTTCTGAGCTGTGAGACTTCCTGCTGTGGCCACAGGAGGCTTTGAAAATCTTACTTTTACATATGCTGCATAAACACTTTCTTTTTAATATAACCCACTGATCTCTCTGTGGTCACACCGTCTCCTCTTTGTCCTGAACAAAAAGCCAACAGTACACCTTTAATGTTTTGAGGAAGAAGAAATTGAAGGAGGAAATAAGTCATTGTGTCTTCCTGTAGAGGAAAGACAGATGCTGCCCTTCTTGAATGGCATTGTAAGTTCATAAGTAAGTGATTATAACTGGATTGCTGTATTTTATGCAGCTCACTTCTATGGAATGACCCCACCTCTGTATACTGGAGAATGACTACTTTTCTTTAAAGAGATTAATGAAAATGGAACATTAGAATGAGACATAGTGCCAAATAAATTCCTGGTAATTCAAAGCCACAGAGAATATAAACAATAAACCAGTGAAACAAGCTGTGTGTGAAATATTGGTTTATGCAAAATTGGTTCCAAATATTGTCCTTTCAGGGTGACAGCTTTTTACTTCGGTTACATCAGTTTCCATGCG